GATATCTTTTAGCTGTAGGCAACTTCCCTGATGAGTACTAATATTATCCAGAGCCCTTCTCAAGAACTGATTCATGCTCACACACCCCCTAGACAGCAAAAACAGTGACAGTCACAGCCGACTGTAGAAACCAGGAAATCCTGTCCTGCTTGCCTGGCCTCTGGACACAAAGCAAAATACCATTTTGAGTAAGAGCGGGGCAGGTTTTGCCTCTTCAGGAAAGTGAAGTTGCATGAGGTTATGTGGCACGGTGAGAAGAACACTGAGTTTGGACTTACAGAATCTGAATCTGAAGCCCTGTCCTATCACCCTTAAAAGACCCTCACTTGGCCTGAGCATTCCTATCAGCTATTGTCTTTTTTTTCTCAACCTTTTCTCCATCTTCATCCCTCTTGACCCTTAGGGCTGCAGCATTTGATGCCAGTGATCACCATCTCCTCCTGGATGCTCCCTCCTCTCTAGGTTTTCATGACACTGCTCTCTTACCTATCTTCATCTCAGTCTGGATCTTCATCTATGTCATGTCCATTAACTCTGTGTATTTCTCAAGGCTCTGTCCTGCAGCTTCTTCTATTTTCCAGCTATACCATGTCACTTGGTGATCTCACCAGCGTGCGTTATCATTGCTATACAGAAGATTCTTGAATCTACTTATCTAGCCCTAACGTCTCTCCTGAGCTCCATTCCTGCATCTCCAGCTGCCTTTTGGACATCTCGAATGGGTGTCCTATACTCACCTCTGAATAAACATGTCCCAAACAGAACTTATCATCTTCCTTCCACAAACCCTCCCCTCTTCTGAATTCCCTATTACCTCCAGGATAAATTAAAAACTCCTTTCTTTAGCATTTGAAGCCCTTCCCAACCTGGCCTCTCCAACTTTCCAGCCTTCTTGCACTTTACTCCTTTCCATATACTCTATGATCCAGCAACCTTGGCCTTCTTGCTACACTCCTCAAATACAACTGACCATCTCCAGACTCCACCTGTGCAATGGCTGTGCTGTACAGGCACAGCTCGGTGGTACAATGACTAGAGTGTTGGAGTTGGAATCAGGAAGACCTGAGTTTGAATCCTTTCACAGATCCTCACTAGCTGTGTGACAGAGGGCAAGTCATTTAATGTCTTTCAGCCTCAGTTTCCTTATCTACAAAATGGAGATAATAATAGAACCTGTCTTACAGAGTTGTTGTTAGGATCAAATGAAATAGCATATATAAAATACTATATAAATGCTAACTATTTTCATATATCTTGTATGTATCTAGTTATTTTCATGTTTTTCTTACCCATTAAAATGTGAGCTCCTTAGGGGAGAGAGACTTTTTTTGTCTTTCTTTGTATCCTTACTGCTTAGTACAGTGCTGGCACATAGTAAGAACTTAAAAAAATACTTGCTGATTGACTAACTGATGACTTATTACTTATATTAAGTAGTAACTAACATGTTATTTTTGTTGTTGTTCAGTTGTTTCAGTCAGGTCTGATTCTTCATGACCCTATTTTGGGTTTTCTTGGCAAAGATACTGGAGCAGTTTGCCATTTCCTTCTCCAGTTCATTTTACAGATGAGGAACTGAGCCAAACAGTGTTGAGTGACTTGGGCAGGATCACAGGATCTGTCTGAGGCTGGATTTGAACTCAGGAAGACTCATCTTCCTGACTTCAGGCCTGGCACTCTATCCATTGCATTACCTAGCTGCCCAGGCTATTTGCCACGTTCTGCCAATCCACTCCACAAACCATACTTTCAGACACCACGCTTGGGAGCATGTAAACCATTTGGCTTAGCACTCCCTGGGGCATGCTGCCTGCATCCCCCCCTAGCACCACGTCTTACTGTGAGCGTCTAAATAAAAGCAACACTGCTATTGCATCTGGAACGGCTATGTCAATGGACTGCCCTAGTGTTTCACTCACCATCCCTGTGACTTCCTACTTCAGATCCCTCCCCTGGACACCAGTTCTTTACATAGGTTGTCCTCCTTATTAGAAAATAAACTCACAGACTTGCAGAATTTGAGACTTGGAAAAGACTTCAGCAGCCTAAAATTTAGTCCAACTTATACACCAAAGGAGTCCTTACCATAACATACTTGACAGGTGGTCATCCAGATTCTTCACCAAGACCCCCAAGGAGGCAAGCCACCCCACTTTAGACAGCTCCAATTGTTAGGAAGTTTTTTCCTAATATCAACTGTTACCAAGTGCTCCTTGTTCTGTCCTCTGGGGCCAAAGGGAACAATACTAATCCCTTCCTCTCCATATGACTGAACTGAGCAAACTTTCTTTTTTTCTTCTTTCCTTTCTTTCTTTCTTTCTTTCCCCTCCCTCCTTTTCTTCCTTCTTTCCTTCCTTTTTTCCTTCCTTCTCTGTCTCTCTCTCTGTCTCTCTGTCTCTGTCTCTGTCTCTCTGTCTCTGTCTCTCTGTCTCTCTCTCTCAACATGGATAATAAAGAAATATTTTGCATGACCTCACATGTATAATGAGTATAATATTACTTGCCTTCTCAATAGGTGGAGAAGGGGCTGGAGGGAAAGAATTTGGAACTCAAAAAAATTAAAAAAGAAAGTAAAGGAGCCAGTTCAAAGGCCTCAAGCATCTTCCAATACAATCATTTTGTACCTTTAACACATCCTGGAATCCCTGGATGTGGCACAACCAGCGTAGTTCAGTCCTGGCTGAATGAAAGAAGGTGTTTTTTAGGCGTCCTAGAGAACTAGATCTTTATGATCACAGAATTTAGAGTTAGAAAAGCCCTTAGAGATAATCTAGTCCAACAACCCCCTCATTTCAAAAGTGAAGAAACTGAGGTCCAGAGAGAAGTGATTTACCCAAGGTCACACAGTTAGTGAGCAGCAGAGCCTGGACTGGAACCCAGGTCCTCTGGTTTCAGATCTAGTGCTTTTTCCTCTACAGCATGGTACATAGTGCTGCCTCTTTGAACCCAAGCAAGGAAGAAGCTTGGAGATGAGTTGAATACAGGCTAAGGAACCCATTCCCCCTCCAAAAAAGACAGTCTCCCCCAAGTATATGATATTTATTTAGTGACAGGAAAGGGAGAGAAAAGCTGGGTCAAAAGTGGAGAGAATTAATTAGATACTTTGGAACCCCCAAATTTCTTGGCATCGAAAAAGAGATCAGGTGGGGAATTTGAAACTGCTCCCAATTTCACACACCCTACATCCCCATCCCCATCTTGACATTCTTCACGTCCAGATATAGCTAGGTTCTGATTAGTTCAAATAGTGGATCTTTTGAAGTAGTTGTGTGTATTCAAATTTGCACCATTCCGAGTTAAACTTATGCAAAGAATAATAGCTAACATTTTTATAGCACTTACTACTTGCCAGGCACTGTGCTAAGTGATTTACAAATATTATTTCATTTGATCCTCTCAACAACTGTGGGGGAAAGGAGCTATTATTATCCTCATTTTACAGAGGAGGAAACTGAGGCAAACAGAAGCTAAATGACTTGCCCAGGTCACATAGCTAGTGAGTGTTTGAGGCTGAATTTGAACTCAGGTCTTCCTGATTCCAGGCCCAGTGTTTTATCCACTCTGCCACCTAGCTGCCCAAATATGGTAATTAATTCCAAAATGGTAACTAAAATATGGTAATTAATTTAAACCAAATGTAAATATGCAGTGTGAATTCAAAAATACAGATTCTTCTTTGCCTTCTTCTTCTTCCCCTACTTGTCCTCCTCCTCCTCCCCTTCTCTTCATCATCATCTTCTCCTTCTTCTTCCCCTACTTCTCTTTCTTCTCCTACTTATTTTTTGGTGGTGAGGGGGCATTAATTGAGACAGCTGTAAATCTTCCACAAGGAATCTAACTAAGGTGTAAGAGGTCTCTGGTTCTTTTCATATTGCAAAGATGCCAGGGCAGCACCCAGGCTATTTATTCATCTGTCATCCCCATCTTCCCTACGTGACAGCTTCAACTCCTTTTCCAGTCAGACATCTCCTGGATGACTCCTTTTATTTCACTTTTTAAGCATAAGTCATTGTTGCATTCTGCTTACAACTCCCATGAAGCAGCCCGGTGTCTTTTGGGTTACCTGCCTCTCCGATTCTTCTAAAATGGTGGTATAACATCACCTAGAGCCACATAACTTCACTGAAGAATTATATAAATAAGAAACAGATGAGCTTTAAAAATAAAGGGGTGAGCTTTGCCTCAGGAAAATTACTGAGCTTGGTGATACAAAGAAAAAGCAAACACTGTCCCTGCCCTCAAGGATTTTAAGTTAAAAGAAGATCTGGACAAAGGTGCCCTTTTGGATTTAGGCTGAACTTGAGTGTGGGACACAAACAGCTTAAATCTATTCCCCCTCCGCCCAACACAGGTCTCCAGCACCTGGATGGATGCTCAGGATCAGACAAAGCCCATGGATATCTCAGCCACATTCTCTTTCCTTGGACCCGACCTCCCAGGTTCAGGCAACTTCATCCACCCTGAGAGAGAAGCCTAACAATTTAACTCTGGAAGAGACTTTAGTGATCATCTGATCCAATCTCCCATCATTTTACGAAAGAGAAAACAGATGAGGCCCAGAGGTATCCATCATAGGATCCTTCCTGGAAGGGACCTTAGAGGCCAGCTAGTTCAAATGACTTGCCCAAGGTCGTACCGGCAAGTACTTGAACTCAAATCATTTGATGGCAGTCTTTCCAGGGGGCCCTCCTAACCTCAGCCTAGAACAAGGGAATGCCTGTGCCGGCCTGGGGCCAGAGAAGTGACACCCCTATCTTCCACACCGCCCGGATAGCTCACCTTGACCCCGCCCAGAGGCTCTCTACCTAACCCCAGTGCTCAGGTCTCAAGTTTTTCTTCCAATCCCCGCCCCTAAGGTGTTGTCTCAGTTTCCACACCCTTGGAGGAACTGGGGGCTCCCCCGGGCATGTTAGTCCCGGCCCATCCGGCTCCTCCTCTATCGGGAAAGGGAGGGTGTGGTGTAGTGGGGTGCAGTGCAGTGCGGACGCCTCCCCTCCTGGGTCCCCACCCTCGCGCGCATGGTGGAACCAGGAAAGACCCGAGGCTCCCGTCCCGGGACACCCGGTCCTGGCTTCTGCAAATGAGCTGGAGCCGACGGCGGAGGCCGAGGCTGCATCAGCTCAGGCAGCTCAGGGAGGCTCGGCGCAGCCGGGTCGGCCCTCATGGCCTTGGGGGTGGAGCAGCGTCTGGGCAGCCTGAACATCTTCAGCCAGGACGACTTCGAAGGAGACTGGCAGCGCGTGGCCAGCGGGGGCTTCGGGCAGGTGTTCCGGGTGCGGCACAAATGCTGGCGGACCGAGTATGCCATCAAGTGCTCCCCTTGCCTGCTGCCGGACTCCAGCCCCAGCAGGTATCTACTCTTCCCGCCCTCCTCCCCTTCTCTCTAGCCTTTGGGCTCCCACTTTTCTACTTCAGCCCCAAGGGAAAGAACCCTGGAAGACTTCCTGTAAGCCATGCCCTGGCCAAGACTGAGGTTCAGCCGTTCAGCCCTGAGGCTGTCTGTCTCTGAGGGATCAGAGTGTTGAACTTAGTGCAGTCTTGTGTCTTTCATCCTCCCAAACTTGCTCCCACCCAGATGATTTCTTCCTTTTAACTGCCAGGGTGATGGGATTCCTCTGCGCTTTAATGTATACAGGTTCACATCACCCCCAGGAGAGTAGGACATTTGTCCAGTACTACTTTTCCCACGGGGAAGAGCTGGACAGTAATCACGAATTAGGGAAAACTGGCTTGGGGCATGACGTCATAAGGATTGACTCAGCCGACTTTGCGGAAATTATTTTATTAGATGGGTTCTATGGCACTTGATTCGTGCAAGCTGACATGAGGCATACTACGAAGGCAGAAGCTCTGTGTTGTGTGGGTGCACCTACATACGAACCTGCTTACACATGTGGGAGGGGACTCCTTGTGGCCTCCTGCGCGGTTTACCCATCTAGGGGCTCCTAAGTCCGGTGCTGAAGAACAGACAGACCCTTGTAGACACACCCAGCTCTTAGCATAAATCTACAGGTCAAAGCCTGGAGCTTCATATTATCTCTTTACGTGTCTCTCTTTTTCACCAGCTGTCTATCTGCATGTTTTTGCTACGCTTTGTCTCTGTCATCTCTTTTTTGTTTTCTCTTCCTGACTTTTTCTCTCTCTGACACTCCCTCTCCCTCTCTGTTCTTTGCTCAGTGTTTCTTATGAATATATCATGTGCCTGCTTCTCTATGCTGCTGTAGAGGAAACAGTTGGGAGATGAAGTCTGATCGTCCTAATCACCTAGTCTTCCCAGGGCTCTTTGGGATATCAGATCCCTCCCTGAACATCTGCTCTGTGGGACTGGGGAGGACTGAACATCCTGGGTCAGTCAGTATCTTTGCTGTTTCCTAGTCTGTAACAGCATGCTCTCTTTAGTCACCAGCCAAGCCCCCAGGATCTAGTCATGAGGCTCTCAGACACTGACCAGACTCCTCTTAACCTCAGATTATTCATCTATTTCATATATTTCATGTCTTAGAGTAGATTGGTACAACCTGAGACTCTCCCAGCAAGTTAGAGGGCAGGTGGACTTGTTAATACTTCGTACTTTAATACTTTGTACTTCTCCCTCCCTTTCCCCTTCCCCCACATTATCATTAATCCCATTGGCTTTGGGGTGGAGTCAAATTGTTGTGGGGCTCCTTGAGTTATTTTGCAGCCCCTGAAATCGAGAATGTAGGCGATGAAATGCCAGACAGAAGAGAATTTGGGTGGGGTTCGGTGAGGTGGGGGTGGGAAAGAGTCTGATAATAGTTGAATGGGAGAGACATCCAATTCTTCTCCTTCCTCCTATATGACTCCTTTCATCTTTTGGATAAGACTTCTGGTGTTTGATGGGGGGAACTGCATTTCCCCCATCCTTGTAATCCTGATAAAGCAAGAAAAGAAATAAACCTCAAACTCTGGGATAGAATTCTCCCTCGGGCAAAGAGAAGTGTGTGTGTGTGTGTGTGTGTGTGTGTGTGTGTGTGTGTGTGTGTGTGTTGGGAGAAGAAGACATAGTGGACACAGAGGTCTCAGTAGTTAGAGGGACAATGATGGGACAAAGTAGAAAACATGAAAGACCTGGGCTGCCCAACCAGCCTAAGAATAATGACTGACATTTATGTAAAACTTTAGATTTTACAACCCATTTTCATACATCCTATTATTTCAGCCTCACAACAACCATGATATAAGTTCTAGAGATGACAGATAGTATTGTCCCCATCTGACAGATGAGGAAACTGGGGCTCAGAGAGTGGAGTCTTCTATCTAGATGATATGATCTTTGATGGCTTCTAAGGATAAACAGGGAGGGAGGGAGGGAGGGAGGGATGGTTCTCCATGACATGAAAAGTCTCTGACTGTGTCTGACTTTTCCATGAGGTCGCAGAAAGCTAGAGATGTCATGGAGTTTTGAGAAGAATCACGTAGGGAGAAACCTGTATTTCCAGATTTCTTTTTCCCTTTCCAGACCTCTACGATCCTGTATAATAAAAATCTATAGCCCTATTATCCCATGATCTAAGGGGATCAGGTGATCACAAACATTTCTTCAGCCCATCTCTGGTTGACTCTGGTGGTTCTATTCCCTTTGTGCCCTGCCCTTTTTTGGGTCTATGCATGAGCAATGTGAAGAAGAACACTGTAAAAATTGCAGTTACATGTGCAACCATCTTTTTTAATTCTACTATGTTATGGAAATGCTTGTTTTATTTCATAAATTAAAAATAAAATAAATAATCTTTTTAAAAAACGTTATAGTTAAGGGTAAAAAACACAGCATTTTGTCAATTGTTCCTTACCTCTATCTCCTCCTATTTCCAGCTCAGTGTAAAAAAAAAATCCTATCTTTGTGCATCACAGACTTAAAGAATATTAGAGAAGGAAAAAGCCTTAGTTTTCTAACAACAATAGCTAGCATTTATGTAGTACTTTAAGGTTGGCTAAACACTTGACAAATATCTCATTGAATCCTCACAGCAATCCTTCAAGGTAGTTTCTATTATTGTCATTATTTTATAGATGAGGAAACTGAGGCAGGTAGCAATTAAGAGACTCACATGGCTAGTAAGTGCCTGAGGACAGATTTAAATTCAGATCTTCCTGACTACAGGTCCAGCACTCTATCTACCGTGTTAGCTCCCTGTAGGCATGACCCTTCATTTAAGAGATAGAAAAGAAAAGCCTAGAAAGTTCAAGTGACCTGCCCCAATTCCTATAATTGGCTAACAGCAGAGTTGGGACTAGATCCCAGATTTCTTGATTCCTAGCCCTGGAGACTTTACACTTTCCCTCAGGCACGGATGGGCAAGAGGACTTTCCATTCTAACATAGACATATATTGTGCCACAGGTAAGTGTGTGATGAGTGAAACAGATAAAAGTATTGCTGTAGTTCAGATGGAAGAGAATGGCTTTCATCTGGGGGTGGTCAGGGAAGGCTTACCCTTATTTTTGCATTATTCTCTTTGTACCACCAATCACTTTGTATTGTTATACATGATAGTGTGTGTGTGTGTGTGTGTGTGTGTATGTGGCTCCCCCCCCCCCACCACAAATAGACTCTAAGTCCCTGGAGAGCAGAAGCTATATTCTTTATGGCTTTGCATCCCTCGTAGCCTAGAACAGCACCTTGTTAGCTTGTTAATTCATTGATTAATTCATTAACACTCTCCTTCCCATTGCTCTCTAGCTCAGACATGAAGTGCCTCATTGAAGAAGCAACCAGAATGGAAAAGATCAAGTTCCAGCATATCGTCTCCATTTACGGAGTGTGCCAGCAGCCCCTGGGCATTGTGATGGAGTTCATGGCCAAGGGCTCTCTAGAGAAGATGCTACCTACCCACAGCCTCTCTTGGCAGCTGAAGTTCCGAATCATCCATGAGACTGCCTTGGCCATGAATTTCCTTCACAGCATTAAGCCACCTCTGCTCCATCTGGACCTCAAACCAGGCAACATCTTGTTGGATAGCAACATGCATGCCAAGGTGAAGGGCCCCGTGCTTTCTTCACTCCCCTGGCCTGAGCCCTCCTTCCCACCCCCAGAGAAGGGGGATACACAGAAGGCGGTATATGGGAAATCTCTAGAGGATACCCTGAGAATCAGGAGCCAATTAAAAGTTCTCACTCATTTCCCAAAAAGTGTTCTAAATATAGGGTGTTTGTGAGCTGTCTGTGTGTTAAACCTACAATAGGTTTTAAGACACACATTTCCAAAAGGACCTATTGGAAGCAGAGAATATGCTTGAAAGACAGATAGGGTCTGGCACATTTGGCCGGGCATCTGGGGATGTGGGTTGTAATGTAGAGTACACCATTGACACATGATGTATGGCCCCGGGCTAGATGTCGCCCTCCAGATTCTAGTTTACCTGTCTCTAAAGTGGGAGAATAATGCTACCCTTCCCTATTTTCCAAGTGTGAGTAAATGAAACAGTCTCTGAGAAATCCTTTTTGGTGAGAAGAAGTAGGAGAAATAGAATGGTGTAAGTATATAATTATCACAGTTGGTATCCCTTTAAAGAACATGGCACTTCTAAGTGCTTTGGGAACTGTGGTAGGATTGTCAGGACGTAGTGGGGCTACTGATGCAATGTCCTTGCTATTGTGATCCCTAGCCATGGATGCTGGGGTGAATGGATGGGCTGGCCTGTGGTGGATGGGAGGAATGGGACAGAGGACAGGTAACAACAGGTAACTGTCTGTTCTAAGTCAGTCACCATCCTAGCTCCTCCATGACTCCCTTACCAGATTTCAGACTTTGGCCTATCCAAGTGGATGGAGCAGTCAACACGGATGCAGTACATTGAGAGGTCAGCACTTCGGGGCACACTCAGCTATATTCCCCCTGAAATGTTTCTGGAGAGCACCAAAGCACCTGGGCCCAAATATGATGTGTACAGGTAAGGGGAAGACAGAGGGATCTTTTTATTAATTTTGAATCTTGGAGACTCCATTGGATCTTTTTGCATTTCTACTGTTCTAATAATTCTTTGCTTAGTTCGAGTTGAAAGCCACTCCTTGCTGAGATGGTATATGGTGGATGTACTGTTCTGAGGCTCGAGCTGAGCTACCTACCACATTTCCTGATTGGTCAGCAGTCCCTCTGCACTTGGGACACTTCCTAGCTGGTTCTAAGGAGTCAAACAGATCTAATCTCCCAAGTCTACTTTCCAGGGGCAGATGGGATGTACAGACCTGGGGCTGGGGGATGGGCAGGGAGGGAGGGCTGGTTTTTCATGACTGAGTCTGTCTCTTTCATGAGGTCTAGAAAGCTGAAGACTTTGTGGATTCTTGAGAAGGGTCACTTAGGGAGAAACCTCTATTATTCACAGCTTTGGAATTGTCATTTGGGAGATTCTTACCCAGAAGAAGCCATACCCAGGTAGTATACTGAGGGCTGCCACTGTGGGTTCGGGTATGGAACCCTGGGATAGAGTCCTGGAGGGTGGTGGCTGTGGTAGGGTGTCACAGAGAAGAAGCAATGGGCTTAGATAGAGTAGGTGTAGTAGGTAATAATTGTTTGTACCCCTTCTTCTCACACCTTCACATATCTTTGTCCTTATCTTCCCTGCCCACCCCTATTTTAAGGAAGATCCCATTTTAAAAGACTTTATATATGGTCTTTTTTCCCCAAAAAATTGTATGAGAAACATCCTCCTTTCTTCTGAGTCCCTCTGACCCGTGCCACTCTTTCTAACTCTATCCTCTCTCACCCTCTCTTTCCCTAGTCACAACCTCCCTGTCTCCTGGGAAGGGAGTGAGCAAGTGGGAGTGAGGTTGGGGGCTCAGAGAATGAACTTGATATCAGAGCTGAAGGAGGGGGGGACTGTGAGGCTCCAGGAAGAAACAGGTGAATCCTGACCTGGTTTTCCCCAAATCAGAGCACATTCCTTAGGAAAGAAAGGAGGGAGAAAAGTTAAAATGTACTTCAAACCCACAGGCTTTCTAGTTGCCGGTTTTAACCCAACTTTCCTGCCCCTCAAAGAGTTTCCTCCACCCTCCACCCCCCCAATAACTCCCACCCAGCAGCTGAGAATATAGAATGTCTCAAAACCTTCAAAAAATAGCAAAGTGAGAAAATTAAAGCTTTCAGGAAAACAGTTTTTGGCATATTTGTTTCCATGTGCATTGGTACCATCTCTTTTAGATTATAAAGATGCATGGGGCAGTGGTCTTGCTTGGGGTTGGCCTTCTAGCCTGGATAACAACTAGAGGAACTGGGATAGGGGAACTCATGTAGCCAAAGCCAGTCCTTGGCCCCTGCTTACTGTCTGGAGATAGGAGGCTCAGTGCCTCTTATTCTCTCTATCACCTCCCTTCCCTGCTTCACCAGCACAGACCCAATCTATGGTCTCCCTCAGGATTCAACATGATGACCATCATCATTCGTGTAGCTGTTGGTACCCGACCCTCCCTGCAGTCCATCTCAGATGAGTGGCCAGGTGAAGGCCAGCAGATGGTAGACTTGATGAAGCGCTGCTGGGACCAGGACCCTAAGAAGAGGCCATGTTTCACTGGTAATCATCCATATTTCCAATTGTATATGTCCATGATAACAAACATACATCTATCTATATTTATATTTGTGTATATGTATATATCATCTCAAGATTTACAAGGTGATAAATATATACATATTTATATATGTATATGTGTATATATATATATATATATGTAATCTCATTTGATACTCACAAGCAATCCTATGAGGTTTGTACTGTTATCATTATCATTTTACAGATGAAGAAACTAAGGCTGAAAGCTTAATATGACTTGCTTAATCACAGCTACGAAGTGTATGAGGTGTCATTTGAACTCAGGTCTTCCTTAATTCAGACCTCTAGCCATTCTCATACAGAGTTTGCTTGAAGGCAAGGATCTGAGCCAAGGCTGCCCAGAGGGAAGAGGTGTGGTGATGAGTCAAGGTAGGAGTCAGGCAGCCATCTCAGTGACCTATGGTGTGCTGTGTGGTTTTCATTAGGATTCCTGAAGTTGAACCCAGTTAATCTTCTTCGTTAAGGCTGGACTGGCTGGTCTAGCTTAATAGTACTCAGCTTCTTTTTTGAAATGCAAGTTCAATTCAACTGGTATCTGTTATTAAGCTTGAACTCCATGCAAGTCATCATGGTAGATACCAGGAAAACAGACAAATATGAATGAATGAGTGAATGAATGAATAAATAAAGCATTTTTAAGGGTTTACTATATGTAAATAACTGTGCTACGCTCTAGGGACAGTCCTTGCTCTCAAGGAGCTCATGTTCTAATGGTAAACAACACATATAGAAGGTTTCAGCTGCAAATCAGATGGAATAAGGCCCATGGTCCTTAGGGGGCAGCAGCAAAGCAGATATTAATTCCTCTTCTTTAATATCTTTCCCACTGATAAAATTATATCAGAGATGACACAGACCTGTCAAAGAGTTTACAATGTAAAGGGTGGAAGGACAAGTTCACAAATAACTATAATGCAAAGGAGAAAAGGAATTGCATAAAGCACCAGGAGAAGTTTGAGACAGGAGAGACTTTTTTACCTGCACTCCATGAAGAAAGGACACATCAAAATTGGTTCTAGAAGGGAAGGAGAGATTTCAAGTGGCAGAGATGACAGGGCTTAGAAGGGAGTCTGTTCTAGGCAAGGGGAGATGGCCTGACCAAAGGAGCCGATACTAGGGAGGACAGGATGAGCTTGATGGAGGAATGGTAGTCCAAGTTGGCTGGAATGCTTGGTGGAGAATAGAATGAGATAAGACTAGATGCTTGAAGCCAAATTATGGAAGGGCTTGAAAGGCAAGTTCTGAAGTTTATTTTCTTTGGGAGATACAGGGGAAATGATTTTGTCACTTCACTTCAATGTCTGAGTTTCCTTATCTATAGATAGTTACTAAAACTGTTATTTCATTGGCCCAGGGAACACCCCAGTGAGGAAACACTGTCTTTCTATGCAGAGCTGTTCTTTATTTACAACTTACATTGTTAGTCATTTCTTTAGGGCACTGGTCAGACAGCCAATTGTGTCATAGACTAGACTGGAACTGAGGTTTTCCTCTATTTACTAAGCTACATTGCCTCTCCAGAATGAAGATAATCAAATCCTTATCTCTGGAATGTAGATAATCATACTTGCAGTCCCTACCTCAGAGGGTTGTTGTGGGGAAAACATTTTCTTTTATTTCCAGATCCTAGTGATTATTAACGATCAACTCAGAATATTTTCCTTCCTTCCTCAATGAGTTCAATGTCATGTTTATATTCTCTCTCCATCCCAATTCCTGCCCTCATTCATACTAAAAGATTTCAGTCTTCATATTGATGCTCCCTTGGCTAGCCTAATTCCTCATTCTTCTCAACTCCCATGATCTATTTTTCATCCTACCTAAGCTACACACAGAGATGGTTATACCTTAATCTTAATGATGCACCCATAACTATCCTATTTCCATCTTCATGAACTCTACAGTTCTTTATCTGATCACAATCTTTTATCATTCCATCTTTTCCTATGTCATATGACCCCTGACACTGTTCTTCATCCTTACTATGACTGCTAATCCCTCTGCCTCTCAGTTCTTACCCCAGTCATCCCTCCTGCATTAGTTATACACTTCTCTTTTCTGTCTTGATCCATTAGTGAACCAATTAAACTCTACAGTCTCCTCTACTCTCAAATACCATGCCCTTTGTGCTTTCACCAGTTATGCTTTGCCAAATCCCAACCCTGGATTACTCCTGCCACGTTTCTCCTTTTCTCCCATTCATATGCTGCTGAATAGTTGGAGAAGAAAGCACAAAACCATGTTGATCAGGGCCATTATAGATTTATGTTACATAATCGCAAATGCCTCTCTAATCTGTTACTATGCTCACCACAGTGGCCATTCTAAACCTTTTCATGCCTCCTCAAACCTTCCATAGCACCCCTCTCATTCCACCTTCTTAACTGAGAAGCTCATCTCATACATCCCCCAAAAAACAAAAAAAAAAAAAATTGAGATCATTCTCCAAGCCTCTGAGTTTGATGCCACTGAAATAGATGGCTGGAAGCCTCTTCCAGCTCCAAGGTTCTCTGATTCTTCTCCTGTCTTACTCATGTTTTATCATTCGTGCAGCTTCCCCTTGCCTGCTTTCATCTCAGAGGAAGCTATGGCCCTTCTTCTCGCCAAGGCCGGTTCTACTGCATGTACCCTTAATATCATCCCATCCTTTCTTCTCCAGCATAATCCCCCTGTCATCATCACCATATTTTCTTTTATCTTTGGTCTTTCCCTATCTACTGGTTCCTTCCCTGCTGCCTATAAACATGCCCATATTTCCCCCATCTTTAAAAGAGAAAAACTTCTGCTCCCTCCTAGCTATCATCCATTTAGCTTTCTGGCTAAACTCCTTGAGAAAACTCTGTATACCAGGTGCTTCTCATTAGGAAAGCATTTTATAAACCTCAATGTGTCATATAAATATGAATAATTCTTTTAATTAATGATGATGATGAATAGAGGGGTAATACGGTCAGAACAATGCATGACAGAGATCATTTGGACATCAATGTGTAAGTTTAACTAGAAAGGCAATAATAACCTGGAGGCAGGGAGATTGGTAAGGAGGCTGTTACAGTACTCAATGTTGAGAAGAGGCAGCTAGGTGGTATAGTGGATAGAGTGCTGGACCTGAAGTCAGGAAGACTTGACTTCCTGAGTTCAAATCCAGCCTCAGACAACTTACTATCTGTGTGACCTTGAGGAAGTCATATACCTGTTTGCCTCAGTTTCCTAAGGAAATGGCAAATCACTCCAGTATCTTTGCCAAGAAAACCCCAAATGGGGTCATGAAGAATTGGACACAGCTGAAAAAAAAAATAAAAAACAAATGAAACCAAGGCATTTGAGAGGAAATAAAGACCTGAACAAAGTTATTTGTATTGGGAGCAGAGACAGGGGCTAAGTATGAGATACATAACGGCAAGAGAAACAACAGGACTTAGCATCTGATTGCAAGTGTGAGGTGAGGAAGAGGAAAGAGTTAAAGGTGACTCCAGGCTTATGAGCCTGGATGGTGATATTATGGACAGAAAAACTTATGGAAGGGGAAGTTTTAGGGACAAGTCAATCGATCTGTAGGCATTTTGTTAGGTGCCAGAGGCACAGAGACAAAAGCAAAACAGTCCCTGCCCTCAAAAAACTTAAAATCTAGTGTGTGGAGATGACATGTCCCTCTATAGCTATATAAAATAGATATGGGGGGTGTGGAATCACTAGCAGCTAAGAGAATGAGAAAAGATTTCATGAGAAAACTGTTAAGTTTTAGAGGTGTTGAGATTGAGGTGCCAGTGGAGATAGGCAGGAGGCAGTGGAAAACACTATATGTGTTATGTTCCCCTCTTTTCCCCCTGCACCCTCCCAGGAGAATGTAAGCTGCTTGAGGGCAAGGACTATTTCATGTTTTTCTTTATATCCCCAGCACCAAGCCGTGCCTGACACATAGTAGATAGTAAATGCTTCTTGAAAGCTCAGGTCTGTAGATAGAGATCTATGCAAGTCATTTGTATAGAGTTGATCAATGAAACCAAAGAAGTTGACAAGACCTCCAAAGAGAGGCTATAAAGAAGGAAGACCTATCCATTAATCTATGAGAGCTGGCAGCTTGGTGGAAAGAAAACAACCCGGAACCAAGAGTTGGGAGAGTTGGGTTTCAGGCTTAACTCTACCATTAGATGTGACTTCGATCAAGTAATTTCACCTCTCTAGGCCTCAGTTTCCACAATTGAAAAATGAGGGAGTTGAACTAGATATTTTGGTAAACTTGTTTCCACCGCTGTGGCCCTGTGAAGTAGTAAAGTTGAACTAGCTGACTTTTGAGACATCTTCCAACTTGAAGCCTCCATAATTCTGATCCTCCCATCATGCTAGTCAGTGAAGATAAGAGCTACAGCTTGAATCCAGGCCTTGGAGCCTCCAAGTATTCTTTCTGTTACATAACCTACTTAACAACTCTCTCCAAAATCAAGAATTTGGCAGGAAACTCATGGGCTGCTCAGTATCAGGGCCAAAGTAGTAATCTATAGAGTGAAGGCCTACCATAATACCCCAGTGATTAGTCTTCCCCTACCCCTATTACCTTGTACTTATTTTGTATGTATACACTTATATGTGTGTACACACACACACACACACACACACACACATATGTATACATTATCTCCTCCTATAGAATGTCTCTTTCATTTTAAACATTTTTGTCTTTATATCTGCAGTCCCAAGCAGATGGGACTGGCTTATAGTATAGAATTATAGTATAAGTATACTGGCATATAGTAGATGTTTAATAAATATTTGTTAATTGGTTGAGTGATTGTTTATCATTGAACTTTAGTGATAGAGGAGATCTTGTAGATTATCCAATTCACACACCCCATCCCCCTCCATTTAACGGATTCGATTTAACAACAAACGGTTAAACATCTACCATAGAATAACAATCATTGTGCTACACAATGGGGACATAAAGGCAAAAACAGAACATTTCCTCCCCTGGAAATTAAGCCCCAAATGGGGAAACTGAGACTCAAAAAAGTTATCTCATTTGCCTAATGACCACATAGCTGGTTAGTGGCACAGCTGGGACTAGAACCTCAATCACCTATACATGTATGTAAGCATATATGTACATATGTACAAGCATGTGTGTTAGGGGATTCAAGAAGAAATATGGGATAGATGGGGGACACATAAACAACATTCAATTGATTTCCCTTTCTCTCCCATTGAGCAGATATCACTATTGAGACAGACATGCTGCTGTCCTTGCTCCAGAACCCTGTAGTAGACCTGGAGAAAGAGTCCTTGGTCAGAAAGACATCCTGCAAACCTTCTCTGTGCAAGGCCCAGGAGGTAAGGAAGGGGCTTCAGAGCATGGCACCAGCCTTCACTGTCTTCCTATGCTAGAAGAACATTTTATTTTGGTGCCCAGGATTCTTGAGAAAGAAAGGCTTTTCTCTGACGGTCATTGCATTATCAGGGAAACAAATGAGGGGTTCCCAAAGGGGCAGAACCCCCTATAGTTCTGCCCATAGGTGTATATATTGGGTGGGATGCCACACCTGGCTCTACCATAAGAGCATTCTTGGTCTAGGTGACCTCAAGGGCCCCTTTCAACCCTAAGTTTCCATGATTCTGTGAGGGAAACTATTCCTCTCCTGCATTCTCAGTCAGTAAACTCAACATTATTCACCTCCCTTGTTGGAAAGCTCAGCTCTGGGCACTAGGGGGTGTTTAACATGTCTGCATCCTGCTGAGCTGAGATATATAGTCTATTTATTAAGTTGCTCATATGAAAGGGCCATGGTTGCTCTTCCCTAGCTGGTTCACCTAACAACAGGAAAGTATGCCACGTCCTCTGTTCTCTTGGGATAACCAGTGGGAAGAACAGTTCAATTTCTAATTCATAGAAAGGCTAGGAACTGCTAATAAGGAGTAGAAATGGGGGTCCTTATAGCAGGCACAAAGTGCTGGTGGGCTGATGAGGCACTGACTGTCAAACTGGTCTCTCCTTATTTGTCTTATGTTGCTTTCGCTGGCCAAGATCAGTAGAGAAGTCAGCCAGGAACTGACAGAGAGTGGTAAGTACAAGGCCCCATAGTCTCAACTAAATGATTCAGAGAAGGGTAAGAAATGGAATCCTTCCAATGGGCTCCATCTCTCCAACCCCTCACACCTTTTCCATTTAGTTACTTCTAGGATCTTCAAAGGGCACTGAAATCCAGCGCCTCTGAAATGGCTCGCTGTAAATAAGAGTATGGTGGCACTTTGGGCACTTGGATGATTGGCGCAATGGCTTTTTGCCATCCTGGTCCCATCCTTTGAGGGTTTGAATGGGGGAAAGTGGGTGGAAACCTGTCCATTCTATTGATCTCACTGTTCTCTATCTCCTTTGATAGTAGAACAAGAAGGAATAAAACTCTAATTATAACAGGAGGGATTAGATTAGACAACAGGAAGAACTATCAAACTCAGAGTTGCAACATCCTGGCATGGGGAGTCTGTTGTAGATTTACCACCTTTTCTAGAGCTCTGTCTATCCCTTCCAGTCTTTTGGGGGCAAAGAGTAGCCCTGTAGGGAGACACGGGCTCTCTGGATCTCAGTTTGCCCATCAGTAAAATGAAGGGGATAGACCAGATGATCTCTACACCCCTTTGCAGTGCTAAGTCCTATGATCCCATGGCGGAATAGACAGTATGACCCCTGGGGGACTCAGATCCCTTCTTTTCTCCAGACTCGGGTGAATCTCTGAAGCGGCTGCTCCAGCTATCTGACAGTGAGAGCTTGGTCTCAAGCATGGGAGACCTGGGCATCTATGAGAACAGTGTTACCCTCCTCCATTTCCTGGTGACTGAGGGCAATGTGGAGAAGGTGAGGCTGCTGTTGAGGCAGGAGGTAGATGTGGACTGCCAAACAGCTGAAGGCTATACACCCCTCATCATTGCTGTACAGGATCAGTTATCTGACCTCTGCCTGCTACTGCTTAGCCAAGGAGCCAACCCCAATCTGGTTGATGAGGATGGCTGGGCCCCACTCCACTTTGCTGCCCAGAATGGGGATGACCGTACTGCTCGCCTGCTCCTGGACCATGGTGCCCAGGTGGATGCCCAGGAGCATGAGGGCTGGACAGCTCTCCACCTAGCTTCCCAGAACAACTTTGAGAATGTGGCCCGGCTCCTTGTCTCCCGCCATGCTAACCCCAACCTTCAAGAGGGGGAGGGGAAATCCCCACTGCACGTGGCCGCCTACTTTGGCCATGTTAGCCTGGTTAAGCTGCTAATTGGCCAGAGGGCCCAACTGAATGCCCAGCAGAGGAACCTCAGGACCCCATTGCACTTGGCTGTGGAACAGGGTAAGGTCCGTGCAATCCAGCACCTGCTAAAGAGTGGGGCAGCTACTGACATGGTTGACCAGAATGGCTATACCCCACTGCATACAGCTGTTGCCAAAGACAAGTACCTTATCTGCAGGATGCTGCTTAAGTATGGAGCCAACACCGAGCTGAAGAATCAGCAGGGCTGGACTCCCTTACATCTGGCAGCCTTCCAGGGCCACCGAGAGATTCTCCGTATGCTGCATGAGAATAATGCCCACCTGGATGCCCGAGGGGGCAAGGACTGGACCCCACTTCACTTGGCAGTACGCCAAGGGGAGGAGGCAGTGGTTTCCTTCCTCCTGCAGAGTGGAGCTGACCCCAACATGGCTGAGCAGACTGGCTGGACACCATTACACTTAGCTGTTCAGCGAGGCGCATTCTTGAGTATCATCAATCTCCTGGAGCACAAGGCTGATGTTAATGCTTCCAACAAGGTTGGCTGGACACCTGTGCACTTGGCAGCCCTCAAGGGCAATACTGCTATCCTCAAGGTGCTGATTAAGGCTGGTGCCAGGCTGGACATTCAGGATTCTACTGGCTGCACGGTGCTGCAATTGGCCATCCGAAATCAGAAACAGAATGTAATCTCCTTCCTGGAGGGCAAGGACCCCCTCACTCCATGTCTGGCCGATGTTAAATCAGAGACTATGAAGGAGGCCTGACCTCCTGTTTCCTGACTGAATATAGATCCCTCTAGAATCATTTAGAACTTGGAAGCCTGGAAACGGCACTGAACACAGAACTGGTCCCCCTCCATGCCCAGGAGCGGTCCCCAGACCAAGTGAAGCTGGAAGAGCCTTGAAGCGGATCCAGAAGAGACCCTAGAGCCTGAAGAGGAGCCAGCTTCTCCTCTCTTCTGCTTTCACCGACACTACCCTAGCCCTCGTGCAGGTTCTGGGCATTGATCTCCACCAGTGAGGAGAGAGTCCCATGCCAGTGGGTGTTGGGACTGGAGTTACATTTCTTATTGGTCTCCCTGCCTCAGATTCCTCCCTTCTCCAGTTCACCCTCCCATCAACCTCCAAAGTGATTTTCCTAAAGCCCAGATCCTACCACTTCACTTCCTTAATCAATAAACCCCAGGACTCCTCATTACCTCTGGCATCAATTCTCTGTTTGGAACTTAAAATTTTTCATGGTCTGGCCTCATCCCACCTTTCCAGCCTTACTACACATTACTTCCCACACCTACCCTCTTGCTGGCCATAACGCCTAAGACTTCACAACACTCCATCATCCATCTCTACATTGTTGCTCTGGCTTTGCCCCATGCCTGGAGCACACCCCCTCCTTTATTTCCGCTTCCTACAAGTCTCGGTTCAGGTGTCGGCTTCTGGTTAGAGCTGACCAGCCACATCTAGGACTGGAGGCCAATCGTGGGATCCTAGCTCCTTTGCTTATTAGTTGTGTGTTCCTGGGCAAGTCATTTAACCTTTCTAAACCTCAATTTCTCCAAATATAATGAATAGAGATAGTACTACGTGATTTATATGTCTTACAAAGTTATTATGAGTTGTTGTGAACCTTAAATAACAATGTAAATGGGACCCATAATCAGCAGACTCTCTGCTTTCAGCCCATCCACTTTTCCATTGTTCCCTTCTAATATTCAGGGCATCCTCCCTGGATCCAAGTGCCTCTATGAGCTTCATGCTTTCTATTGAATAATGGGGGATTCTGAGGCACTCTCTCTCTTTATTTATATGTGTGTGTGTGTATGTGTTTATATATGTGCACATGTGTATGTATAAGTAGGTGTATATACATGTATGTATACATGCACACACGTATATTTATTGTATTATAACAGGTATGATGTATTACTAATTAGATATGATTTTTATTATATATGATATAATCACATAGACATATATAATACACACATATATACATATATCTATATCTATATCTATATACACACACACATACACACACACACACACACACACATACACACACACAAACACACCCTGCAGGAGTGTGGTACAGGGGAGAAAAGGGGTCTGTAGCCAGAAGACCTGAATTCAAATCCTGTCTGACTTTGGGTAAGTCTCACTGGGCCTCAGTTTCTTGCTGTGTAAAATGAGGAGTTGGACTACATGGATTTTTATTTCCTCCCAGCTCTAGATCTCTCCCCTCACCCCGTGGTGGTGGGCACCCCTTCCTCATGCCCAGTTACCACTACTGCCCAGGTCTCTCGGATCACTTATCCAAACACCTGCTGCTGATCTGGAATGTGCCCTTACCTGGACTGCATATCCTGTTACCTGCCTTCTCTGCCCTTTTCCCGACCTCACTGTGTCCTTGGCCCTGATGTGCACTTTGTAGTCAGATGTGTGCCCTCATTTGAATAAAGCCACATCTCTGTTATAGTATTAATGATAGCTCACATTTATAGAGCACATCTGACAGCTGTCCGTCACCTTGGAAGTGGAGTCCTTTGGGCTGAGTGGGCGTGGAGACCTGAAGGTTTGGATACTGGGCGATTGCCGACCCACCCATGCTCAGTGTGCTATATGTATTTTGGGGGATTTCCCCATCCCACTCCCAATCTCAGTGGCTTCTCATGCATTTATCCCCTGCCACCTAGCCCAGCCTGTCTGACAGGTCTTGGGAGAAAGGAAGCAGAGAAGCTAGAAGCGAAGGGAGGGGTGGGACAGGCCAGGGCTGCCCCTCAGACTTGACCTCAAACCCAGCTCAGTTGCTTTCCTTTTTTTTCTCTTTTCTCTCTTCACCTAGAAGAGCATAGACTTGCTAACACCTGCCCAGTCCTTTGTAGGACATTGGGTTCAGGCTCTTAGCAAAAGGTTTGATGAGTCAGAGACGGAAAAACCGGACCCCAGGGAACCCTCTTGGTCAGAAAGCAGGGATCCTTAACCTTCTTATGTGCCATAGACCTCTCTGGTGGTCTGGTGAAGCCTATGGATCTCTTCTCAGAATGATGTTTTAAAAGCAAGCAATAAAATACATGAAATTGCAAAGGAGATCAATTATATTGAAGTACAATTACCAAAATATTAAAAACTCAAGTTCAGGAACCCTTGGAATAAAGAATTTGATAGCAGGCATCTGTCACTGCCTTTGAGATTCAGATGGGTTTAGGGTCAGAGGTGCAGATGTGATCCACCCATTCTTTTGCACTCCAAGAAGAAGCCATACCATACACCATTGGAGGTTCCCTTATTTGCAATAGTCAAGGGATTTTGGGAGTCCTTTCTGAACCTTTTGGGATAGGTGGGTGGGGAGGAATCCGAAATAGAGTTTGTGCCACTGGCAGCCAGAGGAGCCTATCTTTTGAGTCTTAAAATATTCAGCTAAATTCCCTCTGCTGAGTGGGATGAAGGCTGGAAATCCCCAGTCCAACCTTAATCCCAGTCCTAGGACAGCAACCAGGTCGCATGTGATAGCAATTGTTTCTGCTCTGGCTAGAAACTCTGAGGATCTTCCCCTCCCAGATTGAAACTAGGCCATCTTTTGCCTCTATTCTTATCTAGCCTTTAATTACTGAATGGGCATCGTCTCAGACAGACAAAGATCTGGGAAAGACCTTAACTTTAAAAGGCCAAGGTCTCCCACTGCATCCTGGACCATCACCAGTCATCCTGACCTATGTCTTGCCACTGGTCTCTGATGACTCTGGAGGAGAGAATGAGGCTGGTGACTTTACTCAGCTCTCCCTCACTTAAATCCAATTCTGATGTCATTGGTCCCCTTCAGGAACTAAGGACAAAAAACAACACATGTTAGCATTAGGCAGCAGTTTAGGAAATGGTCTTCCCATAGTCAGGGCATCCAAATAAAGTCTTAGGCAGATGTGAAACAAGAAGAAAATCACATTGTAGGGGCCTGGAAGATGATTTGTGTCCTGGTAAAAATCTGCTTAAAAGGAACATTAAGGGCCACCTTAAATGGGTAAAAGATACACACATGGTACAGTGGAGAAAAAAGCCTTTGTATTTGAAATCAGTGGATGTAGGTTCAAATCCCAGCTCTTCTACTTGCTAGTTGTATAACCTTGGGTGTGTCACTTAACTTTTCTTGGTCTTAGTTTCTTTACTTATAAAATAAGGGGGTTGGACAAGATGACCTCTGAGATCCTTGTCAATTCTAAATCTAGGAACCTAAGAAATCAATAGAAAAAAAAAGAATAATGGGAGTGGGGGGCAGGAGTGGAGAGTGCACTGTCGCTAGGCAGCCAGCCTCAGCAGTTTTAATTAAGGGGTGGTGGAAGACGGGGAGAAGATTCAAGGCCAATCACACATAAGTCACTGGTCTTTTTTATTCCCATCTTGTGGGGCTTCCTCTTTTTCTTCCTACAGGTTGCCTCCCTTAGTCCCTGTCCAGCTCCAGTCGGTCAATCAACCAGTAAACGTTCATTAAGTATCAGCCACATGTGAGGTACTGTGCCAAGCACTGGAGATATAAAGAAAAACAAAAGACAGTTCCTTGCCTTTGAAGAATGTGTAGTCTAATGGAGGAGATGACAAATAAATATGTACAAACAAGCGATAAACAAGATAAACTGGAAATAATTAATGGAGAGGAGGCCCTTGATGGGAAAAGGATTGGGAAAGGCTTCCTGTAGAAGATGGATTTTAGCTTTGACTTGAAGGAGGCTCCAGCTTCCTGGCTCCTGCTGGAACAGGAGACAGGGGCCGATTATCCAGATTTCCTATCCCTTATTGTTAGCTTTGAGGGTAGCAACAGGCACAGAGGATAGGTGGAAAATGGGGGACCTGGGGAGATGATGAACAAGTACGGCATCCCAAGTTGCCTCACGCTGTGCTCACTTGAGCCCCCATCGGGAGGCACCATGGTATAGCGCAGGATTTTTTAACATTATTTTGTGTCATGAACTCCTTTTCAGAAGAATATTTTTAAAATTCAAAAAATAAAATACATAGGATTACAAAGGAAACCAATTATATTGAAATAGTTATCAAAATATTTAAAAAATAAATTTACCAAGCCCCCCCCCCCAAATCTATCCATTGGACCTTTTGTGGGGCAGATTAAGAGTGCCAGATTTGGAGATAAAGCAGCTGGGCTAAAATCCCATCACTTGGGGTAGCTAGGTGGTGCAGCGGATAGAGCACCGGCCCTGAAGTCAGGAGGACCTGAGTTCAAATCCAGCCTCAGACCAAACACTTGACACTTATTAGCTGTGTGACCCTGGGCAAGTCACTTAACCCCAATTGCCTAAAAAAAAAAAAGAATAAAATTCCATCGCTGACACTACTTGTGTGACATTAGGCAAGTCACAACCTCTGGTGCCTCAGGTTCCTCCTCTATAAAATAAGAACTTGGACAGAATGACTTCTAAGGGCTCCAGTTTCAAACCTACACTCCTGTGATCTCTTCCTTAGTCCAGCTAGGCAAACATTTCCTGCCCCACAGGTATCTCTAAGTTGATTTATTTTCCTCTCTGGGTCAGATGGACTAGAATGAGCGCAGACAGGGGGCTAGAGGCCACAGGCCTGAGCTTATGAGAAAACCTTGTCTCCCCTACCAGCATCCTGATCTCCCCTTGTTTTCTCTAAGGCTAAGCCCTGGGTAAAACTGTTTTCTTCTGAAAGGCATAATTGAATTCAGAAACAAATAATTCCTTGTCAGAAATGCTCCTGGGAAATCTCTCTTCTCCAGAACGTGCCTGCGCCAGCAGCGGGGTGAGGGTGAGGAGGAGGGAGGAGGAGAAAGAGTTGAAAGGGACACTGCTAGGCTCTACAGGATGAAACCTGCAGGGGTTTCTGAACCAGTCAATCAGGAGCGGGAGAGTTGGATATGAGTGAGGGATAATATCCTCTGACTCTGTCCTGGCTACTCCTCACATCCAAGTCTAGGGCCCTGCATGAGAAAGACAAGGCACATACAAGGAAAATACATGTTAATGCACTGAGTGCATTGTGGCTTTGTCCTCAGACCCTTGAATCATACTTTCCCCTGTCCTTCTAGAATTGGGGGTAGTTTAGAACCCATCGACTAACCAACAAGCATTTATTAAATGCCTACTGTGTGCCAGGCACCAATCCATCCCCTATTGTTTTGCCTAGACTTTCTTGTGATAAAAATATGGTTCATTAAAAAAAAAACAA